GATGAATAGCAGACAGAGGTAGCCGGGCGATTACAAATGCGGCAGAGGCCAACTAACTGCTCAGCGTTCCGGTGCCGTTGTTATCAGAACAGGACCAAATTTACGGCTGTGATTTGACGACGGCCAATGTTGTCTGTCACCTGTGCTAAAATACATGTATTTTTATTCAGTGGATGCCAAAAACACCTTCAAACAATGCCGACATGACAAAGAACTTCGACGACCGTTCGCAAAAAAAAACTTAAGTTCTTCACAGCGGCAAAGTCAACAACTGGCCAGAAAGTCGCCGGGAAAGCAAGCCAGCGATCGTGTCTGCTCGTAGACCACCACGCTATCGATGATATCAAGCAAAGCGTTCTTCTGCATGACCATCGATCACGACGAAGCCGCCGAGACTTGAGACGAGAGGTGGCACATCAGTTTCGCTTTGCAAACGTGAGTTTGACTTCCTCCGGCGTCGCGGAGTCCAATCCGACGCGTTCGTGTCTAAAAACTTGCTCTCATCACACACTAAAAGTTTCGATCAGCCTCGCGACGCGACGCGACGCGGCGACTACAAGCCATACACGCGCACCGCCAACGAGCGTCGCGTCGCTCGTCGCCTCGCCGTGTCTCAATCACTGGCGAACCAGAAACGAACACCTGATGCAGTGACAAAAACTTATGTCTGTGTAAACTATCGTCTGTTATCGCTGTTGACATATGGCGAGTACTTCTCACCGAACAAGGGTCGCGTCGCGCGACAAAAACACAAGCGAAAGAAAACTCCGACGTCCCGTTTCACAAACGACCACGAAAGCGACGTCATCCAACTGAACTTGTGCCGCACGAAACGACAGCCAACAGCCAAGCATGAAGTCCAGAAGCGGCAGTTGGCGCAGCGAACGCCTGTCGTGCGGTCGATGTCTCCTGCATACCTGTGCACCGATCGTACCGGCGACAAAGCAGCAGCGAAAGTGACCGACGTCCGCGGACCATAACTGGTTTCGACACGGTCAGGAAAAACACGGCCGATCGGACACTAGCGATTGCCGGTCGCCGGTCACAAACCAGTTCTGAACACAAAACGCCATATTTCAACACAATGACTTGAATTACTTTATGGTACCAGTTTGGAACACAATGACCAGGTGATTTTTTTCGGTCGGTCGGTCACAATTCACGCTCGAAAAGAACAACGGTCACTCTTCACAAGTGTGCGCCGGCGCAGAAACCAGTCGTCCGCCGTACTTGGCCATAATCTAGCCAAGGCGCGAAGTCTCCCGACGTCACCCAACGCGACAAAGTCTCCGTCGACGACCGTCGTCCTTGGCGCCATCGTTGGTCGAATACTCGGCTGGCGATTTGAGAAATTCGCCTGGCCCGCGGAAACGAGACGAAAATGAGATCGAAAGGAGGCCCCTAAATTATAAACACCTGATTAGCAAAAATGTCCAATGACTTTTTCATTAAACAGTCTGGTCGTTTCGCCTTTATCAAGCGTCGAAGTCGGCGGTACTTATACTGAAGTATTTTCAGTGCCAGTAAGTAAAGCGAACTTGACGATCGTTGGACCGCCTAGCCTGCCTCACCGTGCAACATTCAAG